CCAGGAGGGCTGCTACCTTCCCCACCAGCAGCCTGGAAGGTGCCAAGAACCTTCTGGCCTGTGGGAGTGCTTGAGGAGGAGCCCCTTTCAGCCAGGAAGGGAGCCAGGGTGCTGAACATCAGGGCGATTAGACCTCCTTTCAACGCTCAGTACTCAGGGGCTGACAAACACCTCCAGAGAACCAGAGGCACCCCACTTTCCCAAGGGTACAGTGGGGCAAAGCGGCAATTTGGCATCTGCAGTCATGGCTGCCGGCAGCCTGCATCTGCCTGGCAAGGTTTGTCTGGGAGCAGGGCTTTGTGAGCCGGGCTTCTTCCTGTGAGCCCCCAGGCTGCTCCCCGGCCCCGGCCCAAGGCTCTGCCCCCTCTCCATCAGGCCTCAGGTCAAATCTCACCTCCTCAACAAGGCTTCTCTGACTCCCAAGAGAGTTGGCCCACCGCAGCAACCGGTCTGTTTCCTTCCCAGGATTGACTACAACCCACATTTGTTTGTTGTTTGTGTTCACGCTCCTGTGTGTCTCCCTACACTGTAGCATCCTGCCCTGAGGACAGTATCCTGGTGGGCCTTGTGTCCCCAGCACCTGGAATGGGTCCGGCACAGAGGAGGTGCTCCTGGACTATTCCATGGCTGTGTAGGTGAAGCACCCCACTGTTACTGCCTGTGTGTGGCACGGGCTGGGGAGCTGGGTCTCTGCGGGCTCTTGCACAAACTCAAGTTCTGCAGCTACATACAAGGCACTTGCATGGTCTCTGTCATGAGCGAATCAAAGTTCACCAGACACTGTCTCCCGTCCACCTTGGGCGTGTCTGAGAGGATACGTTTTCTTGGAAGGTTCGGGGTGGGGAGTCCTGGGACCAGGAACTGCAGCTCCTGGACGGCACATCCACCAATCCAACACCTCTGTATGCACAGCAGGCTCCCAAAGGCAAGTCCTCAGCTCTAGGTCCTTAAAAAAACCTGACCATGACCCAGGCTATGTGCTGTAGTTCCCTGGTGGGTAGGTATTTTTGCTCAGAAAATAAAGCATTGAATCCATCTGTAAAGGGCAGTATCTGCTGACAGGTGGGCACTCAGTTCCTGTACAGAGACCTTCTGGCCACCAAGGCTGGAGACCGCCGCTGTGCTGGCCTGGGGCTCACGGCAGGTTCCCGGCAGGCTGTCAGTGCAGGGCGCCTGGGGTTTGGTGCTGTCCATGCTTTCTCTGGCCACGGCCTACTCTTCTTGGCCTGCTCTGGGCCCCGCAGAGTGGGCGGTCGCCTCAGAGCCAAGCCGTCACCTCAGTGTGGTTTCATGGTGGGGTGGGTTGAGGTCATAAGGATTTCAGCCCTAGTCCTATGCTGGACAAGGAGTAGGGACCTCCTGAGATGGCAGCATGAGAAGGGGGCTCTCCTCAGTGGTCAAGCCAGGGACAAGGTCTCAGTCGGGAGTGCTGCCTGCAGCAGTTAGCATCCCTCCGTAGAAAACTAGCATGCTTCCCCTCATGTGCCACTTGGCACCATCCCCCCGAGGGAAGCGCTCACTGATGTACTTTGCACCAGGGCACCAGTTATAGAGACTGAGTCGGAGTTTGGAAACTGCCACGTGGTATGGTCAGTGGTGAGAAAGTGGGCCCCCTGCAATGGGGGAACAAAGAAGGACCTGCCTCTTCTGTCTGATCCCTCGACGGAGTCCTGTGGGCTCAGCTCCCACTGTCGCTAAGCTGGGCCACTTCCCCTTCGCTGGGAGGCGATGGCAGCCCAGGTCTGTGAGTTCAAATCGAGAATCCTGATCTGAGTCACGGAGAGGATCTCTAGCACTAACTGGTACAAATGGACTTGTTTCTCTGGCACCATAACTCTCATGTAACAATTCCCATTTCTGACTGTGTTCAGTAAATTTAATTAGGGTTGAAAAGCCGCTTATTTGGTAAGATGATCAGTTTCTAACCTGGGTAAACGACTTTCTTTATGACTATAAATTAAGCACATTATATCTTTTTCATGCATCATGGTCGTCCTCATCAATACTGTAGACAGTTGCTGGTGGTCTCACTTGGTTACCTTTCCCATTACTGTTTTATCATCATCCTGCTAGGACTGGGGAATTCATTCTGTTTTAGTAACAAGGAGGAAGTAGTGACGAGGGGCTTGTTTAGCAAGGAACCTGCCGCTTGGTCCACGTCTCTGTGGCCAAGGATGGGATTCCAGGCCCACCCCTGTGTAGGACGTTCTCAGCTTGTCCCCGGGCCTGCTGGGCACAGGCTGGGAAAAGCAGATGCATGGCTGCTCAGGTACTTTTGTCTTAATTGCAAATAATTAGGAATCAAATATTTGCCAACAGCCCATTTCCATGTCAGAGAGAACCTGAGTGTTCTTGACAACATCTGTGAGCACAGGTTGGCCCGAGTGTTTTCTTAACACTGACTCCTCAGAGCACAGCCTATGGGGGAGGCCTCAGTCACGCCTGTGAGCTACTCATACGTGGGAAATGGAGGCCTGGTGTCCAGTGCTGGTCTTTGGAAATACTCACTGTGATCGGGGCCTGCTGGTGCTTGAGAGGAGAAAGAGTCAGATGGAAGGGGTTCTGCCCCCACCCTCTGCCCTGCCATCCATTGCGAGCAGGCTTGGCTTTAACTGCCTAGGCTGAGTTAGGTGGTCTCTGAAGTCTCTTCCTACTCTGCCACTCCAGATTCTAGTCTCCTTTACCCCACAAGGCCCACCTCCATCGACCTTTGTCTCCCGTTTGTGCCTCCATCCTTCCAGCTTCCCTTCTGCCCTCTGACAGAGGAGGCAAGGGGAGAGGTACCCCTCAAAAGGTCCCCCCATGGGGGCATGGGGCCCCCACTACCCTCCCCATCTCCGCCTCTAACCTGAAGTTTGAGCAGTGGTACCAAATCAGAGTTGCGAAGGTCAGCTTTTAAAACTCCTGTGTTTCCCAGAGCATGAGTGTCCAGGGCTGTGTGAGTCCAGAGGCCCCGTACCTGCAGGGTCTCTCTCATCCAGACAGTGGGGCAGACATTCTTGGGAAGGGAAATCAGAGGAGGAGGCAGCAGGCTCGGACTTGCGCTGGCAATGAGCACCTCAGAGAGGAGCTAGACCCCAGGGGGTGAGTACTTGGAGCTGAGTCAGCTGGAAAGTGAGCACAGGCTGGGCAGGCAGCATAGCCAGGGCAATTACCCAGAAGCAGAAACTGAGAGGCCAGAGACTCAGAAACTTTGGCTCTGCCTCTTCAAACTGCAGTGACGAGTGGGCGCCCTTGCTGTCACACGGGAAGTTTATTAAAACAGTGATACAACGGCAATGCTTTGTGTTCTGGCCATCTTGGGAAAGAAACAAAGGCCGATATTTTTAGAGCTGTATTAGTTTCTTCTAGTAGCTGCCAGGGCTTTCTAGGGTAACCCATTTTGCAGCCACTCAGGAGAGTCATGCTAATCAAACATGCTCTGTGGCAAAGTAGCCATCAACACCATGGGTGGAGGGCCTCCAGCCCAGGGCCTCCCACTGCCAGGAACCCTCGGCTCCCCTCCACCTTTCAACCTTGACAGGAAGATGTGTGCCGGAGCTGATGAATGCCGCCGAGCCTCTGCCGTGACACACAGAACATCAGCCAAGTGGATAAAGGATCCACTTTCCTAAAGGATTAGGATCCGTACTTTGGCACTCCTCAGAAATAGTTTGACCTTCTAGTTTATTATGATTCAAGAAAAAGTCAATATTTCTTAGCTTGCCAAGGCTGGAAGAATTTAAATGAATTATTGAATCAAGCAGTTAATCTATCGATAACTGATTTTTTTCCTTTCAAATCTAGAATGATGAAAAGCAGGCATAACCAAAAACAAGAAAAAGAAGGTTGTTTTTTCCCCCCAGACATTTTAATCCCATGGGATCGGAGCTGGGGCCAGAGGTTCAGTGTTGACCACCGGGGCCATTCTGTCTCGCTTGAGTATTGTGAAGAAGATATAATTAAAACTTAAAAGCAAAGACTTATGTGGCCATAAAATCTGCATTCGTGTTTTAATTATTTGTATTTTGATATCCCTTTCGCATTCTCAACTTGTGTTTGCTGCCATTAATACTGCGTTTTCTGGACTCCTCTGGTGGAGTGGAATGTCGTTTTGGGGTGCTTCCTGGGCCTTTCCTGTAAGCGGGCCCTTCCAGCAATAAGATGCTCTCCTGGCCACCCTGCCCATGTGGGAGTGTGAGCTCTGGGCACCACTGCCTCACACCATTGTGCACGTGTGTTGGGTGCAGGGGACACCCAGGATCGTGGCAGCAGCTATTCCCAGGGTCTCAGCCTTCCTCCCACGGCTGTAGCTTCCTGCTTCATGCTAGAAAGCGCTGGGCAGTAGAGAAAGGCAACTGGTCCCACCGCCGGTGGCATGTACCCTGGAGAACCACATTCTCCCCAGAGAACAACGTCAAGCTCAAAAGCCTCCCTGCCGTGGCCGCCCCCATCCTGAACACTTAAGAGTACCGCTTTCTCCTTTCTTACTCCACACTGACTCCCTAGCCTCCGCCATTGCTCCCCACTGCCTAACATATCTGACCACACTTCCTCAGCTTGGCGCTGTATGTCTCCTAGAATCACACCTTGGCATCCTTACCTTTCCCACCCCGCCCCTGTACAAAACTCCTCCTCCCATCAGGTCTGTCCCTCCAGTGCAGTTATGGGAGCCATGGCTCAAGCCTTGCCTTTTGGCAAGCCATCCTCCTCTCACTTGGCACGGTCCATTGGCACTGTGCTACCTCCACGTGGTCCTCTGGTTACTCTTCCCTCCCAGGATTGGGGGGGGGGCGCGGTGTGCCTGAGATGTTTGGTGTGAGCCAACCATAAAACCTGAACCCTGTACAGCAGGGTGCTGCTTTTGGTACCCATGGCCACCTCCTGTTGTAGGGCAAAGACTCTTTTGGGCACACCAATCCCAAGGCCTTGGCTTTATCGGCAAATGGAACCACAAAGGAAGCCCTTGACCCCCACCACCAAATGCTTGCAGCTGACCCTCTGTTTTGTGTGTTTGGCAGGACTTTCTGGCCACGATGGGCTGCCAGCCTCCTGTGGGAAGAAGTTCTGCAGCCGCGGGAGCAGGTGCATGCTCAGCAGAGAGACAGGGGAGCCCGAATGCCGGTGCCTGGAGGCATGCAGGCCCAGCTACATGCCTGTGTGTGGCTCCGATGGGAGGTTTTATGAGAATCACTGTGAGCTCCACCGAGCCGCCTGCCTGCTGGAGAGGAAGATCGTCATTGTCCACAGCAAGGACTGTTTCCTTAAAGGTAGGAAGTTGCTTCCTTGCCCCTATGCTTTTGGGTTTGGGGATGGATCTTCTAATGCCCTTTTGACAAATGGCCCAGGTGCTGAGGCTGCAGGTTGAATGTGTAAAGGAAGGCTGGAACCTCAGCCAGTTAGCAACCCCTGCCTTTGCAGGGGGGGAGGGCCTTGGGGAGCAGAATCTAGGCAGACCTTTGGGGTAGGACAGGGAGGGGAAGAGAAGGGACGGAAACCACCAAGTGCCTGCAACAGTGAGGGAAAGGAGCGTCGGAATCACCTGGGCCTGGGCACCTGGAGTGGAGGGGGCAGGGCCCGGTCTCTCCCTAACAGGCCCCGAGCCTGCAGTGGTGTGACCAGGATATCAGGGCGTTCTCAGCAGCCGAGCACAGGTCTGTTGACCCCCTACAGCCGCTCCCTGTGCCACCTGCAGCCACACGAAGGGCCACTTTCCCACCCTTGTGTCTGGGCTGTGGCAGCGGGAGTCGGGGGGGATGTGTCCAAGAGAGAGCGAGGCTCTGGTAGGTCGGGCTGCTCCCGTGATGGGAATAGTCTTGGACACTTTCATGGCTGTGCTTATGACGTTCACGCTGAGGTGCTTCAGAAATTATGAGGCACATTATGGAAATGAGGCCAAAGTGAGTCCAGGAAAAAATGTCCCTGGTCTGAAAACCCTGCCCAGCCTCATGCCTGCCGATCCCTGGCCCCGTGAGCACTAAAACACTTGACCAACTGCTCCAGCGTCATTGGCCGTGTTGAGTTTTATAGACTGATGTTCCGTTCTCCGGTTTCCAATATCCCCCAAATTGCATCTTTCTAAAGGTTTTTATTTCTGCATCAGAGTGTGCCCAGCCTCCCTCACCATCGGTTATTCAAACAGCATTTTTCATTTCATGTAAGGGAAAAACAACCACCCTGAAAGCCGCCTCGGTGAGGGAGGATGCGGGAGAGCTGGGGAGGATGGGGGCCGCCGGTGCACGCAGATGAGGGCTTGGTTCTGCTTCATGCTCGTTGAATTCATCCACCAAATCCTTCTGATTCATTGAGGCTTTGTACAGATTTTGTGAATGCCCATGCTGTGGACAGCAGTCTCCACCAGCTCCCAGAGAGACCTAAGAGTACAGCCTGGCTCTGCCACTTCCCAGCTGTGTGACCTTGGGCACATCACTCCACTTCTCTGGGCCTTTTCCTCTGCTGTGAAAGGGGGCTATTGGCAGTACCACCTGCTCTGTGGAGGAAAGTAAATGAAAGGCTACACAGAAACCATGTAGCATGTGCCAGACACATCACAAGTGTTGTGTATTAATGACCCCTGTCGTCATCTTTCAATCCAGTGTGGCCTCAGGCCTAGAGCAGAGAGACTCAGGTCATGTGGGGAAGGCAGAGGCAGGAACAAGGGCCCAGCCCAGCAGGTGTGGGGCCCACCTGGCTTGCTTGTAGGTGGAGTCAGGGAGGAAGGTGCTGAGGGTCACGTCCTCATGCTGTCCTGGAGAAGCTTACCGGGAACCAGGGCTCCCCTTTCTGCAGAACCTAGCTCCATGGGTCTGGATGCCACGGAGGAGTCTTCACTGCTCAGATCAACTCCAGTCCCAGGCAGCAGGAAGGCCCGCCTGCCTCCATCGTCCAGCATCCCCACCTGGAGTGTCCAGCAAACAGTGAAGCCCTGTTCACTGACCACAGGGTCTTGGCAGGGATGGAGGGCAGGCCTCCCTAGGGAGGGGGCTTTGGGTGGGCACCTCCCCACCTGCACCAGAGCCATGGTTCCAACGGGGAGCAGGAGGAAACAGTGACAGCGGGCTGGGGAGTGAGGTCTTAGAAGGAAGGAGGCGGTAAAGGACACTATCCTACAACCCCACCCCAAGATAGCAGTATTTAATGCCCTCTTCAGCTCCACTGATGACAGGTTGCCTTTGTCCCTATTTCCAGGGAATTACTGATACAGGAAATGGAAAAATACCTTCTTTTTTCATGCAAACAGTAATTCTAAATTCACCCGTGTTCCATTCTCTTTTCCTACCAGACTCTACAAAGAAAAGTTCTGACTCCATTCTCGGGTTTCATTTGTCCCCCAGAAGTCACTATTAGGACACAGTCCTCTTGGGGCCAGGTGTGGAGAGAAGGAGGGGTGTGGTAGTGGATTCTAGGGGCCACAGTTCAGAGTGCCCCCTCTGTGGCTGGGACCTGGACCCTTGGCGGGGGTGGGGGGAGTTGTCCTGAGCTCTGCATGGGGACCACAGCCCTCTTGCTCTGCAAGGGAGGAGAGGGGATATTCTAAGCCCCAGTTTCAAGAAAACTTGTGGTAGCACATTGTGGTTGCTATGGCAATGGAATTCCTCGTGAATGCGGAATGAAATATAACATCATTTAGGGATTATTAGCATGTGAGGAAAGCACAACTGAACTCAAAAGCATTGCTTCAGCTCATCTTTGCAGCTTTGATACCAGCTCTCCTGCCATCCCAAGCAGGGTGTCTCCTGCCGAAATTAAGGGGGACAGAGGGAGGCAGGATTGTCGGATCTCTTTCTGCCTGTGGCCAAATTAAAGTTGCATTTGTTCTCAGCACCAAATACCACCAGAGAATACCAAGACAGTGGGTGGAATTCTGTGTAACTTTAACTTCTTATAGACTCTGTGTTTGGAAAGTTACGTCGTGACGTGGTGTTCCTATTTGTGTACTGGTTGGCACTTTTAAAATTGTTTTTCTGTCTCGGTTTTGAGTTCACCCTGTATCTCCTGCACTGTTTGTGAAGACAAGCTTGCTTTCGGCCATCACTCACTACACCAGGCTTGTATTATCCCAGATGATAAGTGTCATAGTTGGGCAGTTTTCCAAACAAACCGTGAAATTACGGAAGAAGGAAGCCTGTTAGGGCTACAGTTCTAGACAGCTCTGAAGATTCCTCGTCCTGCATGGTGTTTTTAGGGGCACTTTGATGCTTCCAAGGAGAGTTTCCAGGCTCATGAAATCAGAGGAAATAATTCCCATTTTTAACCAAAAAATGAAACACACTAACACTAGGCTCACTAACAAATCTCTTTTTTTTTTTTTTAAAGATTTTATTTATTTATTTGAGA